AAATTGTATTGAGTCCGTTGCGGAAGACTGAAGTTTTTCCGTAATGGCAAAGATGTAGACGCTATGATTCTGACGATTTTTTTAGCCTCATGATCAGAATTCCATGTTAACACTTTTTGCATATAAAAGTGATGCTGATTTCATGCAGATGACTTGGAAATACTTATGGTCATTCATTTTTCCTTGAATCTAAAAGCAGCGCCTTTTTTCCATTATAAAGATGGCATAGCCCACCTCACGTCAAAGCCTTCGCGTCGAAACGTAAATTTGTTCATTAAAAGCAGCCCCCGAAATCTCGAAGGACAACAAGTTACTGTAGTAAAGTTTTTCGAAATATTACTCCGGCGTAAAAGGCGGCACCTGTCTACTTTGACACGATATGCCACTTAAACTTCTCAGACTTTCTGTCAGCTGAAGACACTTTAAATTTCATGCGATAACGTTTTCTTCTGTCTCGGGCCGTTTGAAAAAAATCAACTGGGACTATTTCAATTGTCTGTGAACAAGAAAAGATACTTTTTCACTACCTATCTAACTGATTTAAACAGAAAGTTTTCATATAAAACCCTTCCTTTGTCGTTGGCGATCATCTGTAGTTGGCGATCATCTGTAAAGCACGATGATTTCGCTTTATTTTAATTCATGAAGCAAGGATAGAATTTACATGAAAGGTGACTTTAACAAAGCACGTAGGTGAGCTTTTTAATAAAAGGGGCTTTAACACGACTTGAGTGATGTAATTTCTATTACTTCTTGTTCAAAATGTTACCTCCAAAAAGATAAGATAAACCACGAGCTTTAAATCACCTGCTGTACATTGAGAATGTTACTTTGTCTTTCAGTTAAGAACGCCTTTGGCCATCGATTGTGAAATAAGGTTCAAACTCCAATAGTAAATCATTTCCACAGGAAGTCATGCCAATCACATAAACGTACCTATTAGAGCAGTTGTGTATAGAATCAATCATTGTGTGGGAGTTAAACCTTTTTTCAGCAGACGCTCCCTTTTTCTTTTATTCATTTTTACACATTTGTTGCCGTTCGTTACAGGAATGTAAACGCTCTTTTGAGAATACCATGCGATAGTAGAGGGTTGGTCATAAAAGAAACAAATATTAACGATCACGATGCATCGATTCCCTTGTGAAAGCAAAACGTTGACACCCTCCGTGAGAAATTATAAACCCTACCAAGGCATAAGTGACTTGGGAGAGCAGCTGAAGAAACAAGTTAAACGAACACGTGTTTTCACAGCTTTGTTCTGGCAACATGGTGGCACGATAAAACGTCGTCTTGGCCAATCAGAGAGCGACGAATGTGACAACTAAGCTTAAGGTAGCAGTGAAGGAAAGTTTGCAGAGTCGTTGAATAGAGGGCTTATATATCAACATGAACTGAACGTGATGCATTCGTATCCGTCCCGTCGTTACAATCTCGCATGCTGAGTCAAAGGTCGATTTTATGAAAAAGAAAAAAAAAACTTATGGCGAATTTAAGGTTTATCTACATCGTACTTTTCCTTTTCATCCTTTCTTCTTTGATCACCGACGATGAGGCATTTTCCAGCAATAATAGAGTCGGTAAAAGAAAGTTCAAGGTAAATATTTGTTATTTCATATTTCACACGCAAGGAAGTTTGAACGCTTGACGACGCGCGAGTTCTGCTGAAGTCTTATATAACGGAGAAGTTAAATGGCTCATCATTAACAAAACATGAAACAATGTCGAACTCTGAAGAAACTAGTCGTAAAGTTTCAAACTCTTTGATCACATTCTATTTTGCCATGAAGCTTCTGTTTTTCAGACTTTTAAAGCTGATCTCAGTTTTCTTTTTTCCTTTTTTTTTTTTCTTGTCCCTGTGGATGCCGTGGATCGGCGAAAGTTTGGATTTTTAAAAGGTTTTTACAGTAGTTTAAGGCCTTATTTGAACTTTTGTCAGTTTCATTAGCTAAAATGCTATTGAAAGACAACATTCAACGATTACTTATCTCAGTCGTTGACTGAAATTTGAATTTAACAGTAATTTTGCTTTATTAGGGTTTTGTATTATCTTTAGGGTCATATCTCTATCCCCTTCCCCAAAAATTAGCTAGCCTCTATATGTCCTAATTTATCGATTTCAGCTTAAGAGAAAACTAAAGGTGGCACCAGTTCTCAGAATGATGAGCAAACAGACTACGCAGATGCAAGCAAAAGAAAAAGTAGAAACAAATGCAGACAAGCAAAGGATTCCGAATGGACTAACATGCCCAGAGAAACAATAACAAACCACTGACAATGAAGAAAGTTGGTGTTTATTTTGAAGCTAGAAACTGCGGTTAAAAATTTTCAATCAAATGTTTTATGATCCGAGGATATTATTACATGGTCGTGCAATGATACAGTTCAGAGAACTAAAAATATTGTTAACACGAGGAAGGAGATAAAATTGCCATCCATAAGTGGATATGAAACAAATGATGATCAGGTATTAATGGAATGTTTAATAAAAAATTATTTTAAACGCTAATTAAGAGCACTGAGTGCAGTAAAGAAATTACAGGTCAACTTGAAATAAACCGTAATCTGGCGATATCGAAATTTTTGTCAACACTTTTTTTCCTTTTTCGAAAAAGGTCAAATCAAACTTCAATAATGTTGGTATAAAAAGGAAAATAAACCTTGATAAAATTGGAAAATGCTGCCTTGATGTCCCCTTGTTACCATGGCGATATTGCTGTCAAAATGTGACCTCAGAGAGGCAGGTTTCTTTTGTAACAGCCATCCTTACGAAGTTTATCTAGTCTTCGAACTCCTGTGATCAGCACATAAATCAAGTTGCACAGGCAAGTTTCCAACCAAATCAATGAGTACAGTAGGTTTAGTGGTCTTGAAAATTAGACTACTGGATCTACAAGCTCAATGGATAGAAAATCAGAAAAGATGAGTCGATGTTATACTATTGAAAACCAGTTGGAAATTTTAATTGCGCGTGTTTCAATTACGCAGCAATTCAATACTCAGGGAAACTACTTTATATCTGTATTTGACACTTAATAATAAATCGATTGATGTACTGTTAATTAAGATACCCTTGTGAGACAAAAAGCTTATTGAGGTGAAGAATCGCTTAGCACGTTCGAATGAGTTCTAGTAGCTTTCCTTGCCATCATGTGCAAAACAATATCTTGGATAAAAAGCGGGTTTTTCTAATTTCTATTTGGAATCGAAGACTGTCTTTTCACACTAATCTGGAGAAAGTTCTGGCTCAAGTCCGAAAACCACGAATGAATCTAGGCAATATAGGGAGGTTCTGTGAATGATAAATCAGTTCCGTGTTGTTCGGCGTCGTATTTGACGTTGCAAACAAAAAAGTTTGCCCACCCTTCCGTTTGTTGTTCATATCATAGGAACATATCCTCGTGAAACGGAAATTTATTTGCATCCAAAATTTTGACGCCACAGGTAAGACAATGACATTCGCGAAATTTGCAAAACAATTTTACGATTCCAGTGCAAACAAACTCACAAAAACACTGCAAGCCTGCTTCCGAGGCAATTTCATTACTTTTTAGAACAGAGGAACCGTTTGAGGATGTTTGACCCAATTTATTGGTTTATTTTCGAATTATTCGGTACAGGGTTACATTTGCACCGATCAGGAAATTACCTTTTAAATGACAAAATCACAACTTCAAAGAAAGAAATTTGCTTTATCGGCCTTAAAAATAAAATATAAGATCAACAGGGCCAAACTGTTAAAAAACACCAACGTTATTATAACTCTAAATTTTTGCTATCATGATAGTCGTTCGTATTTATAACATTTCTCCGTCAGTGTTACAAATGCGATTATTTCTATGTTTTACTAAATTGATTTCCGAGCTCCTACTTGCTGAGTATGGTGAAATCTCGCGAAACAGCTTCATAAAATCGAGCTAGTGCCATGGTAATGATTGTAACTTGAATTGAAGTTCTATCTCAAAAGATATTTATAAAGATATCGATTTAAAGTCATTCAGGAAGATTAAATGCCAATCTTCAGGTTGTTTTTGTCTTTTTTTCCGGTGGAGAGCCTCAGTTTTGAAAGTAGAATCATAATCAGGCAAGGTTTATTAACGTAAATGAAATAAAATGAAACTAATTTGCTTTATTCGAAAGATCAGATAGAGCCGTTACGGTTTTACCTAAAAACTACAGTCTTTTCAAACTGAAAGAAATTAATTTTAGCATTAGTTTGATCTAAAAGAAATAATTGAAATCATGAAATATGGCCATCATCAAATTAGTTTTGGCCTCATGTTCAATATTATATCCAAGGACATTTCACTGAGTTTTCTGAGCTGCTGTTGACACGAATTTATCTTAAGATTAAAAAATTTTCAAATGTCAATAAAAAATATTGATAATGTATTCTTTTGTTTGTCGCACGTAAGGAACACCTTTCATCAAGGCTTGAAATTATGTTTTATAACTTACTCTCTTCTCAAAAAGAAGCGGAAATTGAGTGATATTATCAAATCAGAAATAAATCCAAAAGTGTTTTTCTACTGACGTAAAGAAAGATTACATGACGTTACTTAGAGAAAATATCAGCATCAGCCTCAGCGTTTTAACACTTCGTCCTTAAGGCAACTTTTTTATTTTTCTGAAAGCGGCCCGCATATTAGCATTTTTGATGATTGTGAACAAAAGATTGAAGGAACCGCATACAGTAATTGAGGAGCCTCGTCCAGCACAGAGACAAAAAATTGATCAAATAACAATTAGTTTTTTGGTTTATGCTTCAAGAATGAGTGACGTTTAAATGTGTAAGACAGGGAACTCGAACATCAGTTGGGAAGCCGAAAAAGGAATATAACATCGATCCACTTCTCACCTCGTATCAGCTCGGATCGCTACCTACACAATTATCAGCTACACAGCAAAAAAAATATATTATTATTGATTATTTTATCAGCGACAGCCTTACTCAAACAAACACCGCAAATATAGTCACACGACAATCTGACTGCCGCAAGATGTCGATTGATTCAGTTCTCACCACCTCCTTCATGGTGTTCGTATCTGTTGTAGGAACCGCTGGAAATTTATCTGTCATTGTCGCCATTCTTTACAAGCGAAGGCTAAGAACTATTCCCAATTATTTTATCTTTGATTTGGCTGTATGTGACTTGCTGACAGTCTCCCTGGCTGTTCCTTTACGTCTTGTAGAAGTGTTTCAGCCGGGCCTCATTCCTTGTGGTGTTGTCATAGCAGTGAATATTCTCTTCGATGGATTATCAAGGATAAACATCGTTTTTATCTGCATTGACAGACTTACAGCTGTGAAATTTCCTTTCAAATACAATTTGTACATGACAAACAGAGCTGTTGCTGTTTTTGTGGCAAGTGGATGGACTATCGTGACACTTTTTGCAATTTTACCGATTGTGGGCGTCGGCTTAGCTCCCGAAGAAGTCCTTCGCCACAATCATGGTTTATGCTTCTTCTCAACAAATTTATCCACTTCGTATTTGCTAACGTTTCTGATCGGTTTCTGTTTGTTGCCGTTGATATTGGCTACATCAATCAACTGCTTTCTTCTCAAAGCCAGCCACAGGCAATTGCGGGTCATTCACGTACAACAAGTGCAGGTGGAAAATAGTGTTAACACTTACTACCGTAATGTCAGCGCAATGTTATTCAGCGGCAGAAATCAACCGGCAAGTACAGGGCAGTACAACAGGACATTCGCCCTTAAACAAAAGCGAGTTGCAAGGATGGTCATAATTTTGGTGGGGTTTTTTATAGTCCTTGTTCTGCCTATCACAATAATTGATCTTGTCGGAGCATTTGGAGTATCTAAAGTGCCGCCTGCAGTCACTAAAATTGCCGTTTGTATGATATACACAAACGCAATGATAAACGTTTTTGTTTACGCGGGCTTTAACGGAGAGTTTCAAAGAACTTTTGTTGAGATGTTTCAAGCGGGTAAGGCAAAATTCCGTGCTCTAGTATCTCTCTAGTAATTGAAATAAATATCTATTGTCGTTTTTACGACCAGCTAAAGATGAGGATATTCCAGCCTAAAAATACCGATTCTTAAACTGAACAGTTTATTCAAGGATTTTTCTACTTTTAGATCTGATTTTCAACCAAAAACCACATTTTCATTCTTATTAGTGTTTTCGTTCCTTTGCAAGTTGTTTTACTTCAACTGAAACCGCAAAAAGAGCAGTTTGGCTAACTACAGAAAAAGTTAACAATATAAATGAATGCATAATTGTATGAGTTCTTCAAACCTCCAATTTACGCCTCCGTGCGCGCACGAAACTTGATCAAGTTTAGTCATGAATACATGGGCAGTAAACATATATACACAAGTTAAAATTCACCTCAATCGCATAAACTGAACCCCTGATATGATCAGTTTTTTTTATCAAGTTTTAATTCCGATGGAGATCGTTTAAGACAGTCTTGAATGAAAAATTGACTCTCCGCATTAAATTATGTGACGATGATGGAGGTGTATATTTTTCTAATAGTTTTGTTTGCTTTCTGTTGATTTTCAATAAGTAAATCTAATTTCAAATTTTCTATTGAGGTTCTGGAAGCCCTTTAAAGTAGAATAAATATATTGTCGCATTGTCTAAGTTGGAAATTCAAATTCTTTTTTTTTTTTGATGACCAGATTTTGTTTGCAAATATCCAGCAGTGGAACATTTAAATAGGGCTGCAAAAGGAGGGAAATATCATATCAAAACACAAATTAACTTAAAGAAATACGATTTCTTAATTACTTCAATGAAGAAAAACTGAACTAATGATTAAATTGTAATAACAAGTATTTGAACTTTTATCCTGTTATGTAGATTTGATAAATTTAACTCAATTTCCGTTTTAATTTAATAACGTTGACAATTTGATTTCCAAACAAATTATGGGGATGTAATCTGTGTCGCAGCACACTTATTATAACATAATGTAATTATCAAACGGGAAATGATAATGCATTTGATGAGCCGCATGAAGACTCTTGATTTTTCATATTGATTTTTCTGTCTCTTCAAAGCTTGATTAAAAATTCAGTACATTTCATACACTGCATGAAAAAGTAACACATGTTGTGCTTCCTTTGATTTTTCAAAGCATTCGTCAGAGGAGCAGGCCGTTTGTCAAGGTTACAGAGAAGCAATTTACATTTTGGAAGTCGATTCTGAGTTTGAGCTTTTCTGCAGAGAGATCATTTACTGCAGTTATTTCGCGATTCACACATCTTTTTTCTTCAATATTAATTATTTAACCGAGAGAGGATTTTTAAATGAACTTGATTTAACGAAAATCTCTAACGATTATTCAACTGTTACTACTATCCTATTCAACATTCGCTCTGACGAAGGGCTAACGCTTAAAACGCCAGCTTTAGAAACTCTTTACGGTGGCCAATTTACATTATCAACTCAGTTCCTAAAACCAAATTGTCTTGTCTGAAAGACCAACAAGGGCTTAAGAGGGCAGGAAAGACTGGGTCGGTAGAATAGAATTTCCCATTACTTAAAACAAAAACAAAGGGAAAGAGAGGGATTGCAGAAATCAGAGGATAGAGCTTTGAAAAATTATGGCGTCGGCAGAGAGAAGAAGAGATGAGGGCGGAAGAGGAGCGAAAGCAAAAACCGCGACAATAATAGCGCTAAGATAATTAAATCCACAATTTCAAGCTCCCCTCTCTTCATGGAGATCTGAGAATACGAGTCTGCTGACAAATGTCAATTCTAACACCTCTATCAGTCTTGAAGTCTCTTGGTGGCCTGCCTAAAAAGTCCTCTCGGCTAATTTTAATTTGCATTCAAAATGGAACCTTTGTTCGCACTTATTGCAATCCAAAGAAATAACAGTTCCCTCAAAATCATTTCGGAAAGTTCATAGTGAGAGACGAGGAAGTTGGAGGCTTAGAAGTCGAAAGTTATGAATTAAGATCCCGAAGTCGGTAGTCAGAAAATTATATGTCAATGGTTCGAAGTACACTCCAAACTCCGAACTCCGAAATCGAATGTCTGAAGTCGTAAATTGAAAATCCGAAGCCGGAAGTCAGAAAATTTTACGTCAATGGTCGGATGTAAAACTCCGAACCCGAAATCGAATGTCCAAAATTAAATCCGAAGTATGAAGTCGTAGATTAAAAATTCGAAGCCGGAAATCAAGAAATTGAAAGTCGATAGCCGGAAGTAAAAATCGAATGTCTGAGAACCAAAGTTAGAAATCAGAGGTCGGAGGAATCGTTGAAGCATTAATTTTCTGGCCGGTAACGAAACAAGTGACAATTGTTTCCATTGAGCCTTTATAGACAACTAATGATTAAGGGAACATCAGGTCTTGAAACCCACAGTAAAGTCAATAAGAGTCTATTTATAAAGGTAAGCACAAATGTGAAGTATTTCAGGTGTATGTCGAGGTTCAGTATGGCGTTTTTTTGTTTTTTTTTTTAATTATTTTTTTGTTTTTTGTGGTTTACGGGTTTGTTTGTTTGTTTGTTTGTTTTTTTCATTATTTATTTTTAATTTATTTTCATTGTTACCTTTTTATTTCAAATTGTTCCTTTCTTTATTTTTCAAGTCAAACTTCTATACCCTTTTTCCTCGAATAAGCGCCCAGGCGCTTATTTAAAATTTCAGCTTAAAAGGAGGGCACTTATTCGCAGAAGGGCGCATATTAAGTTAGCGCAGCAATAGGAAAAAAATTAAAAGGACAGATGACGCAAATATATGGAACTCTGCTCGAAAATGGAGACAGAAATAATTGGAAGAGACTTAACGGAAAAGAAACTACTCTCCTGCACTGGTTCCGCTGTAGTCGAGGCTTAACGAATTACGAATAAAGTAGCAATGGAAACAGGTTTTCCACGTATCCCTACTATTTAAGACCGTGAGGGAGGAAAGGGAGAGGCACTTATTCGATGGGGCGCTTTATTGACATTATGGCCTAGGGAATGAGCGCTCATTCGGAGGGGGGGCGCTTGTTGGAGCGAGGGCGCTTATTCGAGGAAATACGTTATTTCATTACTTATCATTTTATTTTTTGACGCTCGTATGATACGTATTAAGGCACTGAAACTTTAAAACTGCTTCTTTCTATGATGATCAGATCATGCATAGACAATGCAACGCTTACACCGCTTCCCTTAAGATAAAAACACGATGAATAGACACCGCAACTTTAAAACTGCTTCCTTGTTGACAACCACATGATGCTCAGACACCGCAACTTTTAAACTGCTTCCCTGTTGACAACCACATGATGCACAGACACCGCAACTTAAAAACTGTTCCCTTGTTGACAACCATATGATGCACAGACACCGCAACTTTTAAACGGCTTTCTTGTTGACAAACACACGATGCATAGAAACCGCAACTTTTGAACTGCTACCTTGTTGACAAACACATGATGCGTTGACACCGCAACTTTTAAGCTGCTTCTTTGTTGACAAACACGTGATGCACTGACACCGCAATTTTTAAACTGTTTCCTTGTTGAAAAACACATAATACATAGACACCAGAACTTTCAAACTGTTTCCTTAAAATGCTTTTCCTATAAAAGTTCGAAAGTAAAAGGTGGTTTCTTAAGCCAAACCTTACAAAGGAAACGGAGCAAATGTCTCATGTCACAGTTGCAGTCATATAACTAATGCAAAGGGTGATATTTAGTTACAGCTTATATTTTCATTATATAACCGCCAAGATACGTGTATATTACATATTGTACAGTTTATACAAACTTCATGAAGAATCGTTTTATCTCATTCCATTCTTACCTGAACAGCTAAGCAGCACTCTTTGCATGTAGAGTTCTGTTGATCGGTTTCCTCCATTTCTGCCTTGAATACCACTGATTTGAGCAGGTACTTGATTCCAATAATACTAAAATAAAACCCATACAGCCATTTGATAACAAATACGCACAGAGCAAACATTATACAATATACATTCACTGTAGAGTCCTGATGTTTCCCGAGACGAAGTCGAGGGAAACGTCAGGATTCGAGGGAAAACAAAACTAACTAGTTTCCGGAGGGATCATACATTAAGTGCTTTGCTATATATTTAGACTTTCCCTTAAATAATCATAGGGAAAAAACGTGCTGTTGTAGTCGGTGCGCGGGCAACAACTGCGCAATTGTATCCCGGTCGGGACACATGACCAAGAATCAACCAATCACAGTGCTCGTTTTGTTGAGTGAAAGTCTAGGTATATAACAATGCTAATTATGTGATAAGAACAATAACTGCACCAGTTTCGTATATCTCAGCCGGCAGATAAAGTAAAACCAGTAAAATTACTGTAAAATTACAATATTACAATATTAACATTACAATATTAAAAAAATAAAAATAATGAACTTTTTAAATAAAATAACGGTTTAAAAGATCTGAGTCTAATTGATAAAGTACCTGAGAACAAAATCGGTAGATCTGAGGTTTAACTCCCTCTTCAACTCCCTGTATTTCTGTTAAAAATAGCATACATACATGGGTTTCTTTGTTTAAATTTGATTCGTCTGTTTCGATGTGATTTTTGTTTTCATTTTTTTTCACGTTTAATATTCGGCTTAAGATGATTTTGATTCTAATCTTTCTTATTTTCCGTAGATATACATTTCATAATTCTCAGCCAGTGTATATTCAAAATTCCAATTGCGTCTAATATCTTTACTTAAAGTTAATGTGTTTAATGACTGAAACAGCTCGAACGTACTTCACGAATCGTCGATAACTCTAATTTATTTCTTACCTAAACAGTTAAGCAGCTCTCTTTATATTTAAAGCCCTTTTGGTTTGTCCACTAGATCGCTGACATGAAATCCAACTTGAATATATTTGCAGTTTGATTCCAGCAAAACAATAACTACATCTTTATCACCTGCTGATCACGCACTCAAGAAGCAAACAAAATACAATGCTTAGTACGAGAAAACAATGACTGCACGAGATTTGACAGCAAAACACGTATATCGGAGGTTTGAATCCCCACGAGTGTCGACCAAAAGTTTTCATTTCCGCCTGTATTTTATACCGAAAATACACGGTATTATTTTTAATTCCTCCGTGAAAAGTCGACCCACATTTTTCTCAGCTCAGCTGGAAGAGCATTTTATACCAATATTGGAAAGTCTGAGGTTTGAATCCTCAGGTACATTTACCCAAAATGTTTCTTTCTAATAATAATTGATATTTAAACAGGGTGACCCCTTCAGTCACAAGACTGGTATCAACGGGGGCCCTGCTGTAAGGGCATTTCGTAGCAAAGTTGAATGAAATGAGATTTGAATCCTCACAAAGGTCGACCCGAATTTGTTGTTCTGCCCAGCAAGTAAAGCTGATGGCGAAGTTTTAAGGTGTAAGGTTTTAATCCTAACAGACGTTGATCCAGATATTTTTTTTTTTATTCTGCTCAGCTAATAAAGTAATGGGCAGTTTTCTTGGGAAATACTTTGGATTAAGATATCATAGACAATTAGTTCTTGTGGTCCCTCTCAAGCTAAGCTCTGGAAGCTTCAGTCGCCATTATTGAGTTCTGCTGAGACCAATTTGTCTCATTGTTTAGTTAAGAAAGACCGGCAATGGTTTTTTTGTGTATTCCCCTGAATTTGAATGCCAAATGTGCCGGAGAAAAGAGAAAGTACAATCCCCGCTTGAATACAGACACAGTCCTCTGGTGGTTACAGCCGACACCTGAAATGGGTCAAGACCTCCGGGTTTGAGACCTATATATCGACTATTCTCGTTTCATCAAAAACAAAAAAAAAAAAAAGGAAAAAAATGATACGAGCTTACGCCGAGGTACCAGAGGGCGAGACCGAAGTATGGGCAATCTGCACTGCACCTCTCCTCGGGACGCGAAAATAAACAAGCACTGAGTGGAGTGCACGAAACTCTCCACCCAATTGGGATCGCCTTATTTGGGCTGACTGCTTGAGGTTCGAATCCTCAAAAGGGACTCAGATTAAAATATTTCTTTTTCACAATCCTATATATGGTACCATTTGATTTCTGCGCTCCTAATTGTCCCCTGGCAGTGAAATGTCTTTCCCTGGAACATGATCCTCCTGCTGAAAAAGAGAAAACATATGAATAAATTACTAGGAATTTATAAGAGAGGGAAAATCTATTCACAGGAAATCACATCATGTAGCACATTAACTTGACATCAGTCCAAAGGGCCGATCACTTCGAAGCTTTAACCTCCCCCCTCCCTCCCAGGCAGCCCACGGACATTTCAACATCGTCTGTGTCGGAGGGTGGGGGATTTGAAACTGAAGTGTTACATCTTTCCAGCAGTTGATTGGTGATATCAAATACACGCTGTGACAGCTTTTCTCAACGCTGGAAATCTTTGTATAACTTACTACCCATCACGCCTGTGTGGCACATAGGGCAGCAACGATGCACCAGAGCCACTGAATACGTAACTTTCGGCTTTTCTTTTCTATATTTGTTTTCTTCCCCTTTTAGGAAGGTTTCTTCCAACCCTGCCTATCTTTAGCCAGTTTTTCAATGGTGCTCCAGCTGTAATTGAGCCCCCTTAGTCTCTTCTCTACTGTCCTCCGCCAAGTTGTTTTCGGGCGCCCTCTGCTTCGTTTGCCTTCAGGTGTCCAGTGCATTGCAATTCTGGCTATGATGTTACTGGCCTTCCGCATCTCATGACCGATCCACCTCCATCTTCTCCTATTGACAAGTGTACGAATATCCTTCTGCTTGGTTTGCCTCAGTAGCTGGTCGTTTGATATTTTCTGAGGCCAGAAGATTCTCAGAATCTTCCTGAGGTTAGCTGTGTGGAAGGATGCTAGTTTTGAGAGGTCCTGTTCTGTCATTCGCCAGCATTCCGAGCCGTAAAGGAGAGTTGACAATACGCAGCTCTGATAGATTCTAAGCTTCGTATTTGTGCTGTAGCTTGCTGACCTCCACCCTGATCTTAAGCTCATAAAAGCATTTCTTGCTTTGTTCAATCTGCTTTGTATATCTACACTAGTACCCCCATCTTGGCAGAGCACACTTCCGAGGTATGTGAACTTGTTGGTGTATGGAATGTCCTGTCCTCTTACCCTGATCTTTGTTTCGGAAGGGAAATTAACACACATGGCCTCCGTCTTCTTCAAGCTAATTCTCAAGCCGACCTGGTTGCTGAACATGCTGAGCCGGTCTGTCTTTTCCTGAAAGTGCTGTCGTGTGTGGGACAATAGGGCTGAATCATCTGCGAAGTCGAGGTCTTCGAGTATAGTGAAAGGGGTCCATCTTATACCTCTTCGCTGATCTTCCATTGTTCGACATGACACATCCCTGCCGTACATCGGTTTTAACTTCAAAACTTAGATCTCCCTGACCGATGCAACATGTGAAATTTGAGCAGAAGCATTTGATGATATTAATAATGCGTTGTGGAATGCCATATGCTCTTAGAATCTGCCAAAGACTGTCCCTGTGAATGCTGTCAAACGCTTTCTCATAGTCGATGAAATTTACATACAACTCCCTGTTCCACTCAGTACATTGCTCAAGTATGTTCCGCAGTGTGAAAATATGATCCGTACATCCACGCCCCTTGCGAAATCCAGATTGCTCGTTCCGCAGGAGGTCGTCAACAGCTTGGGTGATGCGCTGTATAATGACCTTGCAAAAGATTTTACTCGGCACAGACAAAAGGGTAATTCCTCGCCAGTTGTTACAATCACTTAGAGACCCTTTCTTTGGTATCTTGATTATCACTCCTCTGCTCCAATCTGTCGGAATTTCTTCCTGCTCCCAGATCTTTGTAAACAAGGTGGTCAGAATGGTTGCAGCAAGCTCAGGGTCTGCTTTAAACAGCTCGGCATTTAGATTATCATGGCCAGGAGCTTTTCCATTCTTCAGGGAATTAATGGCTTGGATGATTTCCCTCCTAGTTGGAACGTCTGTGCTGATGTCAAGGTCGGTTGCGGCTTCCTGGATGTTTGGCACTACTGTTGGTGGTGGTGGTCTGTTTAAAAGCTCTCTAAAGTGCTTCGTCCAGCGCCGTTGCTGCTCTCCCTCTGATGTTAATAAGATACCGTTCTTGTCCTTTACAAGCACGTTGGTTGTATGGCATTTACCTGTTATGATCTTGGTGACCTTATATACTGTTCCTTGCTCATTGCGTGCAGCTGCCTCCTCCGCCTGGGATGCAAGGTTCTCTATGTACTTCCGTTTATCTGCTCTTGTTCGGCGTTTCACCTCTTTGTTCGCTGCCCGATACATCTCTTGATGTCTTTCTTTAAGCCGTTGGGATTTCGAGTCCATAACTTTCTTCTTTAATCTCCGTCTACTTCCAATTGCTTTCCAGGTATCAGGTGACATCCATTCCTTAACAGCCTCGAATCTGTTGCGCACCTCCAGGATAAAAGATTTTCGCACATTTGGGTGTTTCAGTTGGCTCACATCGAAACGGCTGCGCCCCTTGGTTAGACGCCCTGCACTCTTTAATTTCAGTTTAAGGCAGGCTGTTACAAGATGATGGTCACTTGGTCAATTTGATTTCTATCCCTGCCATTCAGGCAACACCATGTGATTTTATGGTCAGCCCCCTATCACCAGATTATTAGTTGTGCAAAACTCAACAAGCCTTTCTCCATTTTCATTGATGATGCCACTCCCGTGTCTTCCCATCACTCTGTCACTGCCTGAGTTATCGGCACCAACTTTGGCATTTAGATCCCCCATGATGATGATAAGATCTTGCATTGGGACCTGCTCAATCTCTGCCTGGAGCCTGAGATAGAAATTGTCTTTCAGATCATCTTCACTATCATTGGTCGGAGCGTAACATTGAATCAGGGTCAAGTTATTTTGCTTTCCTTTCAGCCTGGCCTTTATGAGGCGACTATTAATAGGTTTCCATTCCAACAGCGATCTATCTGCTCCTTTCTTCAGAATAATTGCCACGCCTTCACGATGTAACTCATCATCCCGCCCAGAATACAATACCGTCTCGCCTGACACCGTCTTTAATCTCCTTGTCCCTATCCATCTGCTTTCACTTACGCCCAATACATGCAAGTTATACCGTCTCATTTCTGTTGTAACCTGTGCAAGCTTCCCAGTTTCGTACATGGTACGTACATTCCAAAAACCAATCCTGGTCTTGGTTTTTGCACTCATCATTTCCAACTTCATGCCAATAGTTTCCTTCTGGCTTTCACCACTGGTAGTCATACGGTTCGAAGACCTTGGAAGGTCTGCGTGCAGGATATTGGTTGTCTTCGTTGCTGTTTCTGTAACAAATTCTTTTTACAGGATAAGGTTGTTAGCCTTAAGCCTAACCCCCATGCCTGGAGGGCCGTGGGACTGTCTTTAGTCTGGACCCCACGCCTTGACCTTTCCGGCTTGGGAGGCCCTACCAGGGGTGTAAACACCCCCGCCGGCATAGCTCTTAGAGTCGCTGGGACGCACAAGCCACTCAGCCACGACGAGGCAACAGTCCCAGTGAGTGGTCTTTGTATAACACCGTAGTTTATATGATAAAGTTTATATGATGTTACATCATTCGTTTACATCTACTCTGTTTTTATATAAAATATAATATGTAATTTTGTTTAAAATTAGATATAGGTAACGTGATGTTTCTAATAACATCGAAATCTAGGAAACGTTGTTTGAGCACATTAATATGCATTCTGCGACAACAATTGAATCGTATAAAGTTGGAAACTTTCTGCCCATCTATGTCCCACACTTGTTTGCTATTCCTTCGGTGTGACATTTTATCACGCAGCAACTTTCTGATAACAAATTGTTTCAAACTTCAAACTAGCCCAATGCTGTTGGAAGTTGTGAACTTTTGGTGAGGTTTGAATTTGAAGCGTGATCAGTTCGCAAGAGTTTTATCATAAAAGTTTTGACAAAACTCGTCCAAGTCTCGCATCTTGGCTGTTAAAAGAACTGCAAGATGTTTTTAGCTATCGTCCACCAGGAATGATAAAGACAGTCATCAAATGTAATGGTGACATGAAGGATATCTAATGAATCCGTCCTTTTTCAGCGTCATAAAGTAAACAGTCACTGTTAAAAAATTCAAAAATTACCATTTTGGATGAGGTGCGCATGACAGTAAAAAAAACTTAGTGGAATTCAAGTAGTTTTACGTTCAAAGGCGCAAAATATTCGCACGCACTAATGATCGCTAATTATTTCAAATTCTACCTCTGCAACACGTTTTTGTTCCCTTTTCGCATTTGCATAGCGGTAAAAAAATTTCTCCTCCTCTTTGACCCGAGTGACATGTTTTTTTTTTTCTTTTTAGCAAAGACAGCTTCATTTGAATGATGCCTAGGGTCTAAGAAAGTCAACCGCTTAATGCAAGCTGGGGCGTGGAGGGGGGTGGGGTGCGGTTGTAATTTAATACATGATTTTAAGTTTCCGTTTCAGTTTATAGAACAGTGGACGCAAAAAAATTATGCGTTCTGGCCTTGTCTTATATGTATCAGCACTCCAAGGCCCCAATCGCAAGCTACGTGTACTAACTTAGTAGACTTCTGAAACATTTCATGGTCCTCTCATTTTAAACCAAAACATCCGTCTTAACCCAGACACCATTTTTTAGGTTACGTCGAGTGTATCGATACCATCTATCTTGTAATTGATTTCCTCAGATTTACTTAACTACAGGCAGCTAGAGAATACATAAGAGAGCCTTATTGAAGGTTCAGGTAGATTTAATCACGACAGAGCCAAAATCCTCCAACTCCCCCTCCCCCCTCCCCCCTCCCCCCTCTTCTCCCGCAGGCGACAAACTGAGCTTCACCTTGTAAAACATCTGGCCTCGAATGTGCGAAGGTTGTAAAACGCTATCCATAGGATAAATCTCTATCCGGTGGACAAAGCTATTCGTTTTGCTATCACTTATCCGCCGGAAAGCAATTTATCCGTTGGATAACGTTATCCGCCCTTCATACAACTGGACCCTGAAGACCCTCAAAATTAGTAAAAATATTGATACTAATAGTAATTTGGCAAAGATGACTTCTTGATAAATGATAAGCCTTGTAATGAATGACTTAAATGAGGAGTTTAAACCAGATCTGACTACTCCACCGACGAACAAAGAGAACAATCAATACAACTGACCAATCACATTGCCTTACTCATTTCTAATTTATGATTCGTTTGAAAGGTTATCTGCTAGGTAAACTCTTCAATGCTGTTTCTGCGCATTCCCACGCAGTATTTTTGTCGAGAAATGGGAAACGTGTTTCGAATAAGTGAGAAATTTTAGCTTATATAGGAGATAAACGGATTTCATGGTGACTTAGTGCTTTCTATTGTAACACTGAAGTTGACTTGGCGATTGATCGTTCTTTTCAAGTGCGTAGCAACCTTCGTTAGCAACTGAACAGCTCGATTGACAACACTTGAGGATTTCATAAAATCTGAACCAGGAATGAGATCATAGGTACCTTGATCCAGCGAAATGTCTTTTTATCTGGCTTTCAAGGTATTTTGTCGTTGGATTACACCCTTATAAAAATACAATTTTGAGCTTTCGGACGAGCCCCGTTGTGTCTTCGAGTTGAGTGGTCCAGCTCGGCTTATGTAAACATGGATGAATTTGATGAAAATGGTTGGGCTCATGTACATCACGCAGCTTGCAATGGCTATTACAAGAGTGTTAGTCGTTTCATAAAATCCAGAGAGGACCAATTAGAGCTTGAGACTCAAGATGGACAACAGCTGACTCCATTTCTACTAGCGTGTATGAACGGCCATGTTGACACCGTACAACTTCTGGCGGAAGAGTTGGGTGCTAATCTCAAGGCTAAAGATCGAAAACTGTTTGGCGCTGTGGAGCTTGCAGCATTGAAGGATCACATTGGCGTTTTGGAGTATCTTTTAAAGTTGGACAGTCCAGATCTCGAAGTGTGGAAAAATCTTATTCGTGGTCTGTCGGTAAGTGATCTGGAGACATCGTGCGCTAAAGCACTAGTGGAACTTACGAGTGAGGGAAACTCTGATCATTTAGAATCGTTTTTAAATGCCGGAGGAGTCCAAGCTCTCTTAGGATTATTGAAAAATTCATTATCCAGCGTAGAGTCAAATATATTTGCTCTTTCTGTGTTGCTGAATCTTGTTAAGGACGAAAGAGGTAAGGAACAACTTTCTAAAAGCAAAGCTGTTCCTCCAATTATTTTACAACTTACCGACACCCCACGAGATGTTTATCTTCCTGCTACAAGGCTGCTTGAGGCCTTGGCATATAATGATGACAACAAAGAGGCTACAGTTAACAATGGTGGAATAGAATCATTGGTGAGGTTACTCCAGCACACCGAGGACGAAGAGGTGGTGGAATCAGCCCTAAGTACATTAAGAGTGTTATCCATCTCAAATTCTGAGGTACAAGCAACTGTGGGGAGTAACAATGAAATATGGAACTCACTAGTCAGCTTGCTAACAACAGTGAAAAACAAACATGTGCTAGCTGCTGTGGCGAAAACAGTGGGTGCTATTGTCAAGGGAAACATGGCTAATCAAAATGCATTTGTGGCTAAAAATGGAGTTCAGCCATTGATGGAATTGATGCGATTGCGATCAAGAGAATGTCAATTTGCTTCAGTTGAAGGAATTCATGCACTAGCAGAAGGTAATGAGGGCAATCAGAGAATTGTAACAGAACATGGATGCGTTATGATGCTGATGCGACTGTTGAAGCGATCCAGAGCAGCTGATTTAAGAACCCTCACAGCAGGAGCACTCTGGGCAATTGCTGGGGAAAAGAATGCACAGAGACGGTCCATTGCAGCAGAAATTGGGATTAACCTCCTCATTGAATTTCTATCTGAGAATTTACCTCAGAGCTTACACTTCATTGGCTCAGAAGCTCTTGGTGTTCTTGCAGAGGGAGTCAGAAACAAAAGGGATGAAATTGCCCAAGCAAATGGTGTGATGCCATTGGTTCGTCTTTTGGGGAAATCCAACACACCAGCATACATTATCCTAAGTGTGCTACAGACATTACGCGCACTGTGTCTCTGCCTTAGCTTCAGACCTCATATCCAAAATCAAGATGCTGTTACCAGAGAAGGGGGCCTGAAATTTCTGATCAGATACATGGTGCAAGCAAGACAGGACATTATCAAAGCAGAAGCTGCCTATACTCTTGGCTGTGTTTGTTTGAGAAACTCTACCAACATGAAAGCAACACTGGATCATAAAGACTTCAGCTTTGTTCATATTTTGCGACAGCTTTATGATGATGATGAAGAGGTGCACCTTCTTGCTGGAGCTGCACTCTCTGTTTTTGCTTACAATAATGTGACCAACCAAAGAAATATTGCAGTGTCTGGGGGAGTAAGGTACCACAGCTTTGTCCCATTCTTGGAGCAGAAAAATGAAAGGTTAGCTACCTATACAGCATTTCAAGTGGTGGTTTTATCCCGGATCATTCCAGATGAGGACCAATCTTTGACCTCAGCAACTGGAATTAAAATGTTGGTGTCACTTCTTGACTCAACTACAGAAGACATCCAATGTGCTGCTGCAAATTTTATTGGAGGACTTGCTCATTCAAGAGCAGGAATTCCAGGTGCCATTATCTCCATAGGAACTATCCCCATACTGGGCAAACTGTTGACATCACAGTATGAAACTGTGCAGGCAGCAGCTGCAGTTGCCCTGGGTTACTTGAGCTATGACAGTATTGGGGAAAGACAGCTTCTAAGTTTGTGCCGGCATGATCCTTTTCTTTATGAAGTGATTCAGTTTCATGCAGGAAAAGTGAAACTGTCTCGACAATTTGTTGAGAGATGGCAACACTGCAAGAGAATTGGTCTTCCTCCCATAATGTGAGTGAAACTATTTTTTGAGTGTACCACTGATCTATGTAGTTTATGTACATGTCCTATGTGATTGTTTCATGTAGAAATTGCAGTGAAGCAGGGCTGTTCTTGTGCTCCAGTCATGAACCCAAGTCTCACAGACTTCTAACTTTTACTTTTAAGCAACCTGTTTGATTACTTGTACACCCTAATTTGTATTAAAGCTTTCTTGAACAAGGAACCCCTAAAGTTTTTAAGCAAGAGTCTTCAGGCACCCAGTGATTCTTAATAGAGCACAGCTTTGTAACTGTTGAACATGCATGTTTTTTAAATTACTCTCAACTGGTTATTTTCATTTATTTCCAAATCAAAACTTCAAACTGGCAGGGAATTCTTCTTATTGGTCAATTTTTCACAGAATTTTTGAAATGTTAACCTTACAGCTTTTCCTTTGCTAAGGTAGCTTAAGTTTTATTCTGAAACAGTTATTGCAGCCAAGCCCAGCAGAATTAAATAATGTTTCTAAGAAATTATAATGAGACAATAACAGTGTACATAAACACAATTCATCTCGTCTTTTTAATGTAAACTTTTTCATCCAATGTCTGTCATTTTTGTTGGTAAGAAATGAGCAAATTCACATATTTGTATCAGAAATATGTGTAGTTTAAGTGATTCACATCGAGAGATACAATTACAATGATATTTAGAAAATTATTATTTGGCTGATGAATGTTTTATTTCTTTTTTCTTTCAGGAAAAAGCCTGATCCATTTCTGTCTGTGGGTCAGAAGATGGTAACAGCTCATTTTGCACTGGATGCTGAGCAAACATTTACAGTTGCCAGCACTAATGATTCACCAGTGGTTGCCTCGGATGGATTGCCGGAACGGAAATTATCTGCCACAACCAGTATGAGAACTGGTACAATTTTGAGACTTCCAATAGCATAAAAACTGGTTATATTGATAGTAGGATGAAAAAAAACTGTGCTTGAAATGTGGTCAAATAGTTTTCTGTAAGTTAAGAATATATTCAATGCTGAAAGCCTTCTATAACTACCTCATGTATCAATTCAAAAAATTATATTATCTTAGGACATTAAGATATTCACTATAGTACTGGGATTCCATAGAAATTAGCATAAACTTCAAAGGATTTTGTGAAACCGTGGTGCTGCATCAAATGAGTTGATAGCGTAAATTGGCCTCCATAAAGAGTTTTAAAGCTGATGTTTCAAGAGTTATCTCTTTGCCATTTGCTCTGAGGAAGGGCTAACACTCCAAACATCAGCTTTGAAACTCTTTACAGCAGCCAACTTACATTATCAACTAAGTTGATAATACTAAATTAACCTGTTAACCATAGCTACAATCAGGAAGTGCATTGTTGTTCTGAAAGTCATATTGTGTCATGTAAGCTGCAGGATATGATATGAATACAAACCCAAGAGAAGTGCTGTATTTGAGCTTCTGATTCTTTTTCCAGTTTCTTATACATCCCAAGTGCTTCTAAACAGTTGACATTAATCCACAGCCCTCTGAGTTGTGCATACTTGCACAGTTAATTTAGAGACCATAGATGATTTCTCAAGCTTTTAAGTCAAACAGATTAGCTGATATTGTAATTTTATGATGTTGTGGTACTTTTGTTAATAACTAACTTCTTTGGACCAATGCCAGTAGGCCAATTTCTGCAGGATCTCTCCATGTTGAACATTATCGTGCATTAATTAAGAACAATTTGATGTCCTCTTTGTTATTCATCTCCATTTATTCAGTATCATTAGAGAGTGTGTTGTGTTTGTAGTGATTCCAGAGAAAGAAAAAAAATTTTAGACAATGAGGTTTTCAGTGAATTTTCATTCTTAAGCTTTGTTTAAGTGCTGCATTTTTTGTGTGAACAACAGTTCCTCATACTTATTTGACTATGAAGATATTTTAAATGGTTTAACAATTTACAGAACTTTGATCATAGTCTTTAAGTAATACAACTTATTTATTCTGATATCTTGTACATGTATTATATATTTAAATCTGATTAACTACGGCTAAATAGCCTTTTCAAACATAAAACATTCTTTGTACATACATGAGCATGTAAATGTGGTTCATACATTTTGCAAACTGAGATTGTTACATGTACAGTGTATGTAAGGATTTAAAAGTTCTTAATTTGTAACTCTCATACCATTGAGTTAGTAGTACAAGTATTAATGAGCTTTTTCAACAACTTCATAAAGTGTTATGTACAACGATAAGAGTATGTCTTATAATAAAAAGAGACGTTAGATATACAGCCTGTGACTACCAATCACACCTCAATGTACTTCCATCAGGTCTAGAACTTTAATTTTCCAAGAAATACTCCTCCCTATTCCCTATAGTCAACAAAGGTAAAGTGGTTGGTTTATTATCTTTTAATCAGACTAGGTAGATTGCTTGCTGTACAAAATTGACTTAGAATTAAAACCCAGCTGTAGTTTCCATTTTAAACATAATAGGTTTTTGTATTTTATTCATTAAATTTGGGGGACAGTACAGGGGAAAAATAACAATATGCACATTGACCCTCAGTTAGCTGTTAATTTAATCCCCCCCTCCAATTCCGCCCACCATGATAAGCCCCTGTCTAGGGGTGGGTGAAATCTTTCCTTTTCTTTGGGTGAAAAGACTAGACCAAACAACAGCTGTATCCTACATATAGGATGTTTGGGATAACCTGTCTTGTGCCACTGTTTATTAAATCAAGCCACAGCATTACTAGCAGCATAGCGAACCTCTGCTTTCACTGAATGTTTTAAAATTTGAAGTAAATGGAGAGTGAGGAACTTCTGTTTGGGTGTGCCAACATCATGAAAGTCTAGTGTTCCCACAGTACTATAATACTTTCCAAATCAGATGGAGTTCACACATTTAAGCTGATTGTCAGGCAAATACATGTAGATTGTATTTTTAGCTGCCACCCTTCGCAGCAAACTGTGAAACGCTGACTAACTGCCTAGATTATCCTTCAGTGCAATTTTTGCAGCCATATACAGTTTGTTCCCATTACAAATATTATAAGCCACCTCAGTGACGCACTGTGAGGCACTGATTTACAACTTCCAACAAATGAGTGTTTTCCAAAGCTGCAGCAACTCGTTCTTTATCAGCCAGCTGCTTGTTTACTGAAGAAGAAACAAAGGAACAAGGGAATGCATGGTAACAACACAAACATCAAAAGAGAGAACCATGATTCCCACTTGCTTGAGGGGAATGTTGCTAAAATGTCGTTATAGAAAAACAGCAAAAAAAGGAAGAGAGAAAAGCTAAATAGGAATTAATAAGCAAATAAATCCCCTTCACATGATCTAAATCTGTTGTTTCAATTTCCACCTGCCAGAGATGGTTAACACATTAAAGTAAATTTTACCCAATTTATGATTTTTTCCTTTCCTTTTTACCTATTTTTGAATCAGTGGAAACATTATTAATAAAAGGTTAATCCTGGCATGGGAGAAAAAGATTTTCTTAATCAGTTTGTAGTCATTAGTTTTTTCCTGTTTCATTTCTGTCTTTTTCTTTGACATTGCTAGTGTAACAAGGTATGCAAAGTTTTAAGGGGGTAAGTTTCCAAAGAAACTGTGGTGCTGCATTTGTGGGAGAGTATTGCTCTGACGAAGGGCTAACACTTGAAATGTCAGCTTTTTTACTCTTTACGGTGGCCAGTTTACGTTTTCAACCCAGTTGCTAACACTAAATTACATGCTATGCAAATTTTTATTTGAGTTCAATTGGGGATAAGCACAGGTGGTCATTACATCTGTCTGTTACCTCTTAAGTTTACACCCTAGCATCAGTATGTACATTCTCTACATTTTCTAACTGGTGCTTACAAGGAGAATTTGTTTAACAGTCAACAGCTTTTTCAGTTGATGACCATTTCCTTTATTTTCATGACCATAATGTGAGATTCAAGGGTGATATTGTAAGGAGAAATAAGATGCTAGTCACTATCAGAGGTCAGATGGTTGACCCTTTAAAACCTAACATCAGTATGCATATTCTCCATACTGTTCTCTATACATTTTCTTACGTGCTGCCAAGGAGAATTTGTTTAACAATTAAAGCTTCTTTAGTTGGTGATCATTTCTTCTATTCTCCTGACCTTAGTGTTAGATTCAAGGGGAATATTACAGAGAGAAATTGGATGCTAGTCATTCCTAGGTGTTAAATGGCTTAAAGGAGTTTACACTGAATAAACATAGAAAAAAAAACCATTACCTGCATCTTCTGAAGCATGGGCACCAGGGGTTATGCTGATATCAACCTGGAAAATAATAAGTTCAAAAATATTACTACTAAATTAAAAGTAAATGACCATGACTCTTGAATGCTACCTGTCTAAAGAAGTACTCATCAGTGCTTGGTGAGTAAGAGAACTTTTACATGAGAAATGTTTAAATCAAATATCACGAATACCATAAAAGAAATAGGTAGCAGGGTACAGCGTCATTGGATTTATTCCTGAAATTGACATACTTTCTTAAAAAAATTTGTTTTGTCTTTTCTCTTAATTTCCTAAAAAATCATCAAGAACAAGTTTCAATATCAAGGTAAATGCAGAATAAGCTTGGTTACCAGGGGTTGAGTACAAATTTAGTGCTGTAGAGCAAACATTCCTTTTCAGAGATATATAATTTCTCTATTGATGTCACCAGTAAGTTCCTCACAGGGAGCTTTTGATTACAGAATACAATCAGGTTGAGATCACAGGGATTTAAACACAAACAGGAGAAATCTGTGTTTACAATATGGATTAAATTAGCACAGAGTGAGATCTAATAAATAAAGTATATTGTACCTTGAATCTTTCAGGCAGTGATCTTAAAAGCTGGACTCGTATTGCCAAACCAATCAGGGTTGCCATACTACAGTGAGGAATTGTTGGGGTGAACTGAACTTTCACATAATTATTTGCATCATCCACCTCTACTAAAGACTGCTCCACAACATTCAGCTGCTCCAGAGTAAGAGGATGTTCAGGATCATTGATAGAACGAATCAGATGTTCCTTCAGTAAAGGTAAATAGGACTTTATCAATGTGGCCAGATCACTTAAATTTTTTGCCAGGTCACATCCAAGTCAACCTATTCACACCTTGTTTAACACTTCTGTCATGCTAGTGACAGTAGAAAATTAGAGCATACACAAAAAAAAGCACTCAGAGCTATTTACTGCGACAGATCATCAAGTTATGATAAATTACTGAATACAGCTAATCTATGCACCCTGTGTAACAGATGGTTACAGGATATAGCTGTTCTTATGTACAAGACAAAAACAACATTTCCCTGAAATATATTGCAGACCTTTTCCAAATGACAAACACCAAATTTTCACTGAGAAACAAAGAGTTTGCCATGCCTAGATTTAATACGACTACTCATGGAAAGCATTCCATCAGATACATTGGCCCAAAGGTGTGGAGTCTAATACCTCAAAATATGAGACCTTCCTGCACTATCTGTATTTAGGCAGCATATTAGAAAGCTTGATTTAAATCCTTACTGGCCGATTCTCAATGTTCTGAATGTATTTTATGTCGTACATAATAGACACTTTAGTATTTCATTAAGTCTATGCACATGTAAATAATGTCATCCACTACATACTCGTTTTATCAATTGTAAACAGTGTTATCAATTTTAATTAAAAAGGTATAATAACTGTTTATTTTAATTTCAATTTATTCATGGTGTCCCCATTTAGTGATTCTTTACTGCTATTTCAGTTTGACACTTAAATAAAGGTATTCATTCATTCCTTCATTCATTCAAGTCAACAGTTTTAGACAAATACAAGTTCTAGTTAGCACAGGGGGTCATCTTACTTTCTCTTTCCGACAATTTGCTTGTAGTGGGCATTTAACTTCTGTGGTTTTCTAGCACTTAGCATCATTTTATGTCGACTGTCAGTAACTGATTCATTGTTGCATGTCTACGATATATTGTTTTATAACAAGAACTGAACATTAACTATTAATTTTGAGAGAGAGTGTCTCCACAGCTGTTCGGTCACGAACTAAAAAGAGACTAGCTGGCTTGTGAAAATTTTTGACCAAAAATCCATGACGTACATGTATAATAATCAAATAGCACTGTCACTTTTACGCGTGACAGTTCAGGCGATAGAACGAAAGCATTAAAATAACAGATCAAATTATGAGAGAAGCCCGTTGTTAAAGGATATCAAATACTTCTCGTTCATCGATCTTGTCCACAACATCCTCATTTTCTTCGTCAGGGAGAACTTCCCGCTCTGTTTTCTGCAGGAAAATAGTCGGGTTTGCGTTTTCTAAAGTTGTCGCCATTTTGAATACCGCTTCCCATTGAATGATGGGACTGTTCTTGCACTAATGACGCCTGTTTGGATTTAGCTCATCCACAGGACTAGCTATGCCAGACAAACGTATTTATATTTATGGAGCAAATGAGATCTCTCTGATTGACCTTCGCGAGGTAAAGTTGTGAAATTTGTACTTCTTATCTAGCCTGCGAACGAGCCCTTATTACGAGTACTACAGACCGCGCGTTTCTCCGCCCGCGGGAATTTCGAATTTGTGGTGAAGTCTGGGGAGAGATTTGTCGGGATCTAGCACATCAGTAATAGCTGTAGTTCCCTTGCAAACTCGCGTTGCTCAAAGCATCATACTTTCATGATGGCGAAAAACGCTCTTGCCGAACACTCATAACGAAGACCTGCGTGCGGGCCGTGTATTATGTGGAGATCACTTTCTTATCGAATTGTATGCAACCGTAGAGAGAACATGGCAGGAAATCTTACAGTATGTTTAATTCAAGTAAGATGTTTTATGTGGTGGTAATACGTTTTACAAAAATCTCTGAGAAAATCAGGTTGATACATGCTTAGATCCAAATCTATGTCACCATGTTTGAGCTTAGGAAATTACCTTACATCAGTAACACAGTTAAAAAAAAATTAGCCCTAGACGGCTGGCTTATTTATTAGACTCAAGTGAAACAGTGTTGGATTTTTTGTACTGAGATAAGACTCTTCTAGTACTCCAGCGATGTACCTTTATGAACCTGTACGGTAAAAATTTCTTTTTCAAAGTTGGTGCATTTACACTTCCATACTTGCATTAAATTTTATATATTTTGTTTTAATCTCAGTCAAGTTATGTGTGAATGACACAACTACAGCTATAAGTATTTTTCATCAAAAGCTCAGACCAATTTTTTTTAAAATTAATTTGTTATGGCAAGCATATTGTTAATCTTCCACTCTACTCAATTACTTTTTTTTCTCGTTTTCCATCTGCCTTCTCTCGCATTATCTCTCTCTCCCTCTCTCTCTCTCTCGTACTTCTTCTTTCATTTCCTTCTTTGAAAACAGCAAAATATGACTGAGTCAGTCAGATAGTAGGGTGAATGGAAAATAAACAAAATGGCCGTATCTCTTTGTTATTTGAAATCGAAATAATTATACCACACTGCATTATTTATTTATCAGCAATATTCCCTTTTGAGCTAGGCGGACATGTTTGGCACTGTGGAGTCGGCGGAGGTGGGTATGGTATTTTTGACAGAGGACTCTCAGGTCTCTTCGCATCATTCTCATGCCCCTTGTAATCACCATCGATAGGCTGGTTGTCCTGTGGAGCTGTAGGAATCTTGTGTAACAGAGGTAGCCTTATAGGATATTTGCGTGATTGGAGAGCTTTAGTAATCTTTGGTTGCTCACAGACTTCCCACTGGTACAAAACAATTTTGGGAAAAAAGAGATCTTCAGTCACCGCGCTTGATTTTCTAAAATAGTTAGGTGTTCCGGGTCGACTTTCCGGAAATTTGCACGAAACTAAAACCCTTGCTGGTGGACCTTTACGGGCCAAATGTTGTCTTTGCTGGTCGAAGAGATCGACGTTTCTCAAACCACTTGCTTGGGTTTCTCTTCTCTTTCTTGTTTTTCTCTCTGGTGTGTTAAGCTCTTTCTTCTTTACTTCGGCGCTTTGCAGTTTCTTCTTCGAATGGACGCTTAAGAGCCTTTCTCCATCAGTCTCGGGTATTCTTTCCATAGACGAGTGGAAGGCGTACCGAGAGAGGTCGATGTTCGCTGTCGCTAAGTTAGCAGTTGTACATGCAGGTTCATAGATGAGATAGTCTGCACAATTGATGACTGGCTCCCTTTTGAATTTATCACCAGTGTTTTCGCGTGGAGAGAGAGCAATGTTTGCCACGTTTAAAAAACCGGTTGGGTCGGGTGAACTAATCGTTCTTTCAAGTGGAGGGACGGCGGTGGATTTTTTCTGTAACTTGGGAAGATTCACGCCGTTGCACGAACTGTTGTACCTCTTCTCGGTCCTTTGCCCTGATCTCTCTCTTTTGCATTCGTTCACGCCCTTGTTACCACAGAAAAGGGGAAGACGATCAGAGACCCTGTTGTCGTTCTCAGGAATTGAATCAAGTATGTGGATGACCTGTGATGACTTTTTGTAATCATTCATTTTCTCCCCAAACGAGGGCAAAATGCTTCTCTCACGCATTCTCAAGGTGTTTATAAACAAATCACGAAGTGAACAAGGATTTTTTGTAATGAGTTGAACTGCCTCTTCAACTTTCGCTTCTTTCCAAGTGTTCCGTAAGAATGTCTTTCTTTTGCGAAATCGTCTGGCTGTTGTTATCTGTTTGAAACTCAGATAATATTGCTATTTTATCACTCTTCCTTCTTTGCTTTTATTTTTGATCTGCGAAGTAAACAAAAATGTCTTCGGTTCAACATGGAATTTAATTCCCGTGAGAAAATGCAACTGAGATGGGTAACATCGTTGACTCAAACTCTGAATTAAATTGGGTATCTGGTTGCTGTAACTTGTTTTGTATAGAAAGTTTGTAGATAGCTTGTGGTGAAACATGATTCCTTATTTGTATGCCAATAATTTACATTTCTAATATTTAAAACTTACATTAACATCCATAAAAACGAAGAAATTTACGACCAGTGGATAGTAGAAATACGTCGAAGTGTGAGAGGTTTGCGTCGAGTTTAAAGCACTCTCAGCTCTAGCTCTAGCTCTTGCTCTTGTTGTGTACAATGTTGTGTTGTTGTGATTCACCTTAAGTTTATCCGCAAAATTAGGCCCACCACTGAGAAGTTGACTTGTTTCATAAACATTTTAGAGCAGGTGATATTTTGATCTGTTTATTAAATCTCAAGTATTCTTGGTCAAGTGTATTTGTAAGTTCTGAGTTCGTTTTTTGTTCAATTAGCATATGTACACATTTTTATGTGTCATTCACATTGAATAATTTGTCTATACTGCTAAGGTAAAAAGTAAGGGTGACATAAACAAGACCTCACATTGATACAAATAGTAAATAAAGAATCTCACAAAAAGGTAGCTCTATTTACTGTCCTGCTCTTAAAAGTCGAAAGATTGTTTTTTTTTGTTCGTAATACAATTAGACAAATAAGATAAATCGGAAGTGTACAGAACGATAACATTCTAAGACATCAATTGCTGCATCTCCATCTCGCTTACCTTAATGTCTTGACGAACTTGTTATTTTCGATGCTTTAAGCAAACACCAAGTTTCTTTAAACCGTGCTTTTGTCTTCAAGCTGTTTTCAAATATGTCAATAACCCCAGCAGCAAACAGCGCAGTAAGCGCAGTGAGACGCCAAGTTTCAACACTTAACAATTAGACTGTTTACGTATCTATGTCTTTTTTCTCTTTTCGGTATCTCTAAATAAAAAATGTATTCTTGACATGATCATGAAAACACATCAATCAAAAACGCCAAAATAAACTGCAAACAATAATGTTCGACGCCTTCAGTTTTTTTAGAGGAATGAAATATTTTGGAGGGCATTTTGAAGATGGAATTACTCAGAAATTCCCATCCAGAGTGAAATTCATTCGGTGTTTATCGACAGATATGAGCTAATGGCTTTTGTTTCCTCCTTTTATTCTAACCTTTTGATGAAGAATTTAAAAAATGGGCTATCTTAAAGGTAGCTCTAAACGTTTGTGCGCAAAAACGGGTTAATTCCTGCGAGCTTGAGAAACAAAGACTTTTAATCATGTCGCCAGAAAAGGTGAAAGAAATAATTAGCTTTCATAGATTCATCACCTGCATGGCTATCGACACTGGTTTTGTTATTGTTTACTTCAGTTTTTTCCCATTGTTGTTTCGTTCCTCTACATCTTTCCCCATGCTATGCAGTCAGAAATGATCGGAACATATTTCAGCCATAAAAACACAGAGACCTCTTTACTTTACTTAAACTTGAAAACGAACTTCATGAAGCTACGTTTCGTCATTCGTCAGGAAATTGTCGTAACGAAAAATCAGAAAATCAGTTGAAGGAGAAGAAACTTTCGCTTGAGAGTGTTTCGGTTTCTAGAACTCTCGCCGAGTCACTTAATTGATTACTGTGGCGAGTAAGAACTGACTGAATTAGCGTCTCAAAAATGCGCTGTTTTCGATGGCGCAGTAAACAGCTCAATGATTCGAGATGTTTCGATGCCTGATTGGAAAACTGGGTCGACCTATGGAGTACAGGTGTGCTAATTAATTAACCTCTCGAGAAAAACAAATTTGAAATTTAAAATAAAATGGCGAAGTTTCCTCTTCTCGTTCGTCTGGTGTTTTCTTGTTCGATCGATGTCGCATAGTAAGAAAGACGACGATCCGAAAAAAATAAAATCACCGCCAAGGCTCTAGTTCAGCGCACGCGGAGGCTTCAAGAACTGGTCAAAAACATGCGAAAACACAGTGTGAGAAGCAAAACACCTTTAACATGCTTCTTCGATGTTTTTCACATGTCTTTCTCATGACAAATTTCATGTACATATGAGTGAAATATCCATGTGAAAGAATTACAAAAACCGTATGGAGACCGCGCCTAAACTTTACCTTTACGAGAACCCGAGTACGCGCAGATATAAGTTTGGTTTCTACAGATATTTCGCAAGAGGCATCGCTCGTGTTATAAAGCCAGTTTCCCAGGCCTCACATCCAAAACCGATGCGTTATGGTTTCGGCTTTAAAGAACATGTGCTTTATCCATTCATTTTTCCGTAATTTTAATGGGCCTGGTGCCTCTTTTTCCTTTTTTCCTGGATCGCTCGTAAAGAAATTCGAGGCTTTTAGAGATTTCAGTTGTGTGCACGCATACGTTTTTCATGTAAGTCATGAATAATGGAATAGATTTTCAAGTTAGCAATTGTATTGACAAATGTGCGCCACAGAGGATAAGGACGGAAAGAGAGGGGAACGTAGGGGGAGGCGGGGAAGAGGAGCGTCTAACTATCTCCGACTCTGGAGGAGAAATTATCTCCGTAGGTGAGCTGTAATTGAAGGAATTGCAGAAAAGAAGCCTGAAAAAATTCAGGCTACGATGGGATTCGAACCTTCACCTCCAGAAACTAGTTGGGCGCCATTAGCGATTGAGCTACGAACTATATTCTTTATTGAAATATTACAAACAATAGTTTATTTCCAACCTGAGTTTGAACTTCTGCCTTCTGTCTTTAGTATTCTCCAATTTTATGGCCAATGTCCAATACTTTATATAAACATCACTGCATTATACAAACTGTTTGTATAGTGCGGCGCACTTCAACTGAGTAAGTTGTTAGTTGATTTGAGAATACCAATAAATAGTCGCGTGCTCTCTAAGACTAAAATGGTCTTAATAACGTGAGTACCCAAGATGTATCATGGCTCATCCTTTTTCACATTAACTTTTGAACTGTTCATATCGTCACGCTGTAAAGTAATTCTCATTTCAGTTTTCTTAACTATAATGACTATTTCTGTGGATCTGTAAGAACTATTTCGTATTCTCAAGATCTGATTAGAATTTTTCCTTTTTTGTTGAAAATGATTTTTGTGTCATATCGGGATAACTCCCTGAAGTTGATGAGTTTCTCAGCGTTTTCCCAACATTCACTTGCTTTGGGTATAATTTCTGATTCTGAAAGGATTAGATCTACGCTTTCCGCCTCTGAGAGTTACAATGCTGGTGAAGTGAAGTCAGTTACAAAAGTCGCCATGTAGAGGGTTAACAAAAAAGAAGCACGTTCAAGTATTTTGGCCGTCATGAAGTGTCCTCCTCATCGTCCGAGTTAGACATTGAAGGCGGAGGGACTGGTGACCCGTAATCATAAGAAGTCAATTCATTAAGGTGTACTTGAAGTTCAAAGGGAGATATCATTCCGTTTCGAGCTCGTTGGTTTCTTTTAGGGCTCGCGCTATGAGTCTTATCGACTTTTCTGAGTGATTGCGAGGGAGTTTGCCGAATATCTAGCTGAGGAAGACGTCCATCGTTTTTAATTTGTCGAATGCCCTCGCGAGGCAGTGCACTCTTGGCGCGTTCATACGTGGCCCTCGTATCCGAGTTTGAGCCGCCCGCAGCTCTGCATGAAGAACAGAGAGGATTCTTCGGGTTAAACGAGTTGTTCTGCGCGTGTTCACATCCAAGCCATGCTCGATTAACATTATTTAGTTTCCTTCCCGTCACAACAACGCTATCGCTGACCGATGAAATTGGGCGAGTGTGGGCTCTCTCAGTTCTTGAGCCTGCAAACTCGGGCAGTGACCTCGTGTTAAACCGGCTTGGCCTGTCTAAACTGTCTCTTTCCCCCGTTGTCTTGACAACCTTTGAAACGGGTGCCAAAATTACAGGACCCTTTACGCTTAAAGCAATTTCTCCCTTCGTGGGTCGGGCATAAGCTGCTATTGGTCGAGTCGGCGGAATGTGGGTTCGGGATGCCTCGAAAGGATCCTTTAATCTTCGAGTCAAACATTTGATGAGGTTTTGAACGTAATCATCCTGTTGCTTATCTTCCTTTCCTTGCATTACAATAATATCATCAGACAACATGGCGTCTTGTTCTCCTTTCTCGTTTCCGCCAACAGTTTCCAAACTAGATGTACTGTTATTTTCCCCAATCGTTTCATCGTCGGACATGCGGGGTGTCTCAATCATAACTCCTATTCTCGCCCCAGCCCTCCCCGCTGATGTCACCTTGTTTCGCTCAAGAGTCTTTCTTATTTGAACTTTTGTGACAAAAGGAGTCATGTCAATGCCCTTCTTTTTATTTAACTCCCTTTCCAAGTTACTTTTTCCGTATTTAAGGCGTATTTGTCTTGCTTTATCATCCACTTGTTTGGCTTTAACTGACATTTTGTTACATTGCAAAATTGAATTTTTACTGGCTCCTTTCTGGGATGGTGCAGGACTACGATAATGTCTCATCTGACTAGAACGCCCCTGGTTTCGTTCCCAGCCTGTTTGGAGCCATGCTTGGTCCTTCCGTGAGATCGTAGCCATGGAAAGGTGGCAGATGTACAGGTCTGGAAAAAATGAGAAAGTTGTTATCGCAAGTTCCAACTCACATCTGAGTCTATATGAATTGGAATTAGCCGAATGTTATCTATTAATAGGAATTCGTTATGTTATTCGCCAGTTTCAAGTCTGTACAGATTTTTCGCGACATCGGTAGTTCTCAAAATGGCCAATTCATGTCTATCAACCCGTGCATTTTCCGCGAGAATCGCCCGAGGAGGTCTAAATTGTTGTTTTTGTCACTGGTTCCCTAAAGGAGTGCGGTTCTTAAAACGCGGAATGTATATGGAAGAGCCGCCGTGAAGTGCTGCAACCTTTTCAAGCGCACTTTCTTCTGCAGGGCTTAAATTATCTCGTTATCTCACCAATTGAGCGAGTCTTGTGAAATTATTTTGATGTGAGTCAGAATTATTCATAATTAGTCGAAAGTGGTCCCGTGTAGCTCTGCGTACAGTGAATATTTTACCTCTTCAATATTGCAGTTGTACGATTCACACTTGTACGAGCGACTTTCCGCTTGCACGTAGCAAAACACTTTAAAAGTTCATAATTCCCTTGCTAGTTGGTTATCAGACAGTAATGTATGTTTAATTATTGATTCGAAAAAAAGAACTTTATCCGGTTATAAATTTGCGCAGTTTTTTAATTAACACGATCGAATCTGACGACTAGGCGCAAAGAGGTTTGTTAAAGGACAAATGCATACATTGTTAGTTAAGTGGATTTACTTTGCACTCAATTTCCTATGGAAAGGATTTCCTATGTAAATGAACGTAATAAAGAACAGGAAAGTACAAGATTATTTGTCGAACAATCCGTGGATGCAGTTCATGAATTACCGTCAAGTGGTTTAGCTCGTCTGATCAATGAGAGGTGTTCCTAAAGCTCTTTATACAGGTGGATTTTTAGGCTTTGTGTGCGAGCATGATTAAAAGGAAAAAGCCGATATGATTTTCACCTCTATTTCAGATTCTATTTCAGCAATTCTATTTGCATTTCTTGATTAAAAACCCTAATTGCGCGCTCAGCAAGTTTTGACTTTGAATTCAACCAGCAAAACTAGATTACACGAAAAATGGAAATCTCTAGTTGATTGGTTATCGGTTTTTCTCTTGTTACCACAAAATGTTAATGGAAAAAAAAAGTTTCGCGGGATTTCAATTTTTTTTGTATTGTGGATAAAATTAGCAACATAAAACAAAGATACTATCAATCTGTGTTACGAATATTGCTCTTAGTATAACCATTTGTATACCTTTAATAAACAGTGTTTATTGCTAGTGAACTTCTTCAAATTTCGCAGTCTAATGCTTGAGTATACGTTGGCTTCAACCTGGTTTCATATGGTCATACAATATTGAATTTCGCTCCATATTTATCAGATTGCCAGAAATTGTAAAACAGCGTTTGTTTCTGAATTCCCTTTCAAGCACCGATTTGGCAAAGTTCGCGATTTAAGATGAAACTTCAAGAAAAGTTTCAATATCATTTCACAGCCACCTGCAGAGATGTAACCTTGGAGATTGTCAATGTAAAAATTTCAATCGAACTTGCCGGCCAGTCACTGTGATCCAGCGAAAATCCCTGTTCCGACATAATCTTTTCAAATTTGTTTCTTGTTTCATTAATATTCCCCTGAATGAATTTTCTGTTTCTTTTTTCGTTTCTTAGAAACGGAAAATTATGCCTTGCCAACCTAAATACTCGACAAGTTATATAGATTCCTTTATACACAACCTGCTTGGGACTCGAGGCAACACTATCACAATAAAATATTATAGATGTTTTTCTTCCTGTTAGTTAAAAAGTGCTGTAGAAACAAACTGTCCGCCCATAATGCTTAGATTCGGTAATATTTTTTCAAGATACCCCAGTAATTGTATGCGCCGTAACGATAATAATCGTTCTATTACAAAAGCTATCAAATTCAAACATTTGCTTATCATGAAATCAGCTGAAAAATTGAGATAAATGGAATAAACGGGAAACTGCTCATCAAACATCGACGGAAAATAATGTACGCAAGTGTATAACAATACAAAAAGCATAAAATTTTGGGGCTTGTATTCGGCATTATCTATAAAAGAAGCAATCTTTCAAAATTTTTCCGCTTTCGGATTGTGATAGAAAAGTAGCTGGTTAAAGGAAAATTACCTACCTTGTAGTCAGAACGTCGCGCGCGAAATATAAACCCGTCAACTTTGTTTGCCAGAAGTCAATTAAAATTTTGAAGTCAAAAACTTAAAATTCAAACGAAGCTACTGCCTCATGTACACCTGCACTTAGTGAATTTACGTCTATATTACATATTAAATAGTTCCGTTCAAAACATCTTACCCCCTATGCATTAGGGATGAAAACAACACTTGCGATTGGCGTTGTCAAGCCTTCTAAATCATTAATCACTTTTTTTTTGACCCTGCAATTCTAATGGAAACCTTGTCTACTTATATATACAGCCGGTTGATTTAAAACGAATCATTTGAATTTTTATTTCTATGGCCGTCTGTGCGTAAAAGAAACGTAAAGTGCGCTTGCAAAAATCGACACGGAAATATTCAACATCAATATTCATTGTTTATCGCTATAAACACGAAAACCAATTTCAGCATTTTTCCTTCTCAGGACAACAAAGTCCACCACGGGAGTTTTCTTTTACCTTCGCTCCAAGAGAACTTACCTTTCCAGTCCAGAGGAAAAACATAGTTATTTTTAGAAACTGAAAATTTTCATTAAGCTAAGGAGACTGCCTTCGTCCGCGTATTGGTTGTCATGGAGATACGATTGATAATCATGAATCACAATTCGGTGGGTTTTACACAGGGTTCATTTTTATAAGGAAGTAAAACCCTTTTGAAACTCGCTAGGGAATTGTGGTTTGTTCATCTTCTGTTAAGTCACTTCTCTTTAAAAATGTTATGACCATTTTCAGTCGGCTAGATCTTTCTGTATTTATGTAAAGTAGTGGAAAATAAGAGAAAAATATTTTTTTCTTTACATCTGGATTAAAAGCAACCTGCTGGACAAGAAAATTAACACAGTTCTCTGGTTGATGCGACTAAGAATCGCCATCTCACCCCCACCCCTCCCCCGCTCCTTGCACGCCGTGGATCCCTATCTCATTCAACATTTTAAGTCACACTTCTTTACCGAAAAACCTATCGATAACAAGTTGTACCCAGTAATTTAGAACTCAAGATTCTGACTCGTGAACGATTTCGAGTTCGAGATACTGCGCTTTATGGCGGAAAAAAAGCAACAACCGTCATTATTATAAGTTAAAGTTTAGTGAAAATGGCAAAGGTAAAAATGAACACTACCAATACCCCAGTGGGTTTAGAGTTTCTCCCAATGTCAGTGGTAAAGGTTATAGTGATGCTTGGTGAGGTGCTTCGATTCTCGCTGTCGAGCTCGTTCTAGAAGACCTGGGTACGAATCTAAGCGGCTTGATTCGGAGACTCAAACCACAAGGATCGACAAAGGAGATCAGAGGCAAAACCAAAGGGTACAAATAGCGATGCAATTAACTGAAAACACATGGCACACTTTGGCAATTCGAAACATGGCTAAGCACACTCGCAATCAACTCGTTTTAAGTTTGTGTCTGTTACTTGAAGGTTGGATTTCGGTTGTATATGCATTTACCTCGTATTTTAAAATAAGTGCTCAACCATTATTTTAATCTCTTATGTTTATCTCCTGCATTGTAAGAACCTCGAATGAGTCAGTTTTCATTCAACAACGTACAGTGTTCTTTTCACTTTGAAGTAATGGTCGACCTACCGTGGTGCGAGGGAAGCCATATTTGTGTTGTTGTTTCGACGTGAGTTTAAGAATGCCAGTCCAGTTCTTTATTGATGAACTGCGAAGTAACTGTTGTCCTTGATATTAAAGCCTTTCCTGTGGACAGAAAAATATTAAGATAAATTTCGAAGAGAAGAAAATATCACTTCTTCCGTTAAGTGCCTGTTGGTTAGTTCCAAAACTGCCATGGCGAACACGTTTACATCGAGTCACGAAATTTCTATCTCCTTCTAAAAAATCTGCTTCGTAGCACAAATGTGTGAATGACAACTTCTTACAATGCTTCAAATCTTCAGGTTTATGTTTGACTGCTCGATAATTTTCACCATCTCAACCGAGTCCGTTCCATGTTGTTTTAATTCTCGGCTTATTTAATGACTTCTATTTTCATTTCGTGCACACACTATGGTACACAAAAGCCAGTCGCGATCGGATTATTGCTTTTGTTATTAAAACGGTCCCCTGTTTGTCATTACCTTTTTGTAATTTGTCTCGTTAATTTGGATATCATTTTCCGACAGAAAACAAAGGTCCATCAAACATGGCTATTGAAAACGAAGAACTATAAGAACTACCGCACTTTTTCATGTCGAACGAATTGGAACACAAGTTGTCGTGTTGAAATAAGAGTTAATTTGATAGGTTTTCGCGCAGAATCAGGAATTTTATCACTATGCTCGGCTGATTTGGCAGCAAAGTAGGTATGTTCTACTTTATTTGTGTGATTGCATCACAAATGTTGTGGAAATAAGTTAAATTTCAGCAATTTGTTGAAACTTATAGGATCGATACGGTTTTAGTACTAGCAGTGAATGTGTTTATATTATCTAATAACAAGTGCCATTTAAGTTACTTTTACAGCATAATCAGATTAAGTCCTTTTAAGGAAGATAAATTTCAATATTTGAAATAATTTTGAACGTAGCCTTCGAAGCAAAGTAAATACACACAGTTAGGAATGTCACATGGAATTTCATTTCTGTTTTGGAGTGAACAAGTGTCTTCGAGGCGGACTCTTACATTTCTTCGACCATTCTTTATCCTACACTTACTAGTGGAGGTATTGTTCAAATCAACGCTTCTAAAAAATCAACGGTTCCAAATAATTTAGAATACTGCACTGATGTAACATATATCCTAAGGAAATTTTTGCATGCATATCTTGAGATTAATACGATGCAGTCAGACTGCACAACGATTTTGGCTTGCAAACTAGACGTTGAAACTGAAGAACTCACGCGTTCTCTAGACTGGCTGAATAAAAAGCTCAGTCCAGAACAATCATGTTTCATTGAACAGATACGCAGTAAACATTATTATTACATATTATCCTGTTGCTAAGCTTTCGATTTAAGAAATGCAAAAATTTAGGTAGGTCTCCAAACCGTTATAACGAAACGTTCTCTAGTTACCTTGCAGATGCAGACATCTCTGTTTAGTGATCGACTTCTTCCTCAGTAACGAAACACAGCAACTGATTCTAGCTTAGATGTTATGTTATGTGCCTATTGTGAGTCGTCTGCTGTTTATGTTTCCTTGATGATGAATCGTTCAAGCTTGGCTGCTTTTCTTAATCGCACGCGGCGCATGTCACGAGATCATTAATTAGAATTTGTTGTGCAAACTTGAATAAAAATGCACAATAGCACCTGTCTCGAGTTCAAACAGCTAAATTTATCCTTCAACACGTACACGTCGACGAAGCTTCTATGTTGGTTTGGAATACGATAAGACTGAATCTGAGATTCTTCCTTTGAAATTTCCCATCACATAAGTTTAACAGAAGAAACAAAAAATTATTTCGAAACAAGATATGTTAGGAAAAGCGTGCGACGAATTCCATGAATAGTGAAACATTACAGAAATTGATGAATACAAAATCGTAAAGATGCCTCGCGACTTTTTTAATTAACCAATTTTCCTCGCAAATGTTTTGTCCTAAGTCGGCTTATGAAATTTGTTCGTGAGAAAAATGTTTTGAAACTAGTTTTTGAAGCCTTCTCGCCATGAACGCTCTCCAACATGCAGCCAGAAAGCGGAAGCTCTGAGTCTATAGCTCTCATTATTGTGTTCAAAGACTCTCACTTAAACATATAAATTTTCATCTTTCTTTATCATACCTGTTTTGCATTTGGAAAGGCAAATGCTTTAACACGATTATGATCCAACAGTTGTGTATCTGAATAAAGGTGAAGTGAAAGGGTCTGTGTCAATATTGGCACCATTTCTGCAAAGGTACCTGCTAAAGTAAGAGCTTGACGGTACGATCTGGACAGCGGATTCCCACGCGACGCTCACTCAAAAATCTTCAATCTTAAGTCACTCAATTTATCAGATTAGAATTATCACCAAAAATGGATAGAGAGAGAGAGAGAACCCAATTTCTATAGGTTAGTACTTGTTGCAGATAACTCGCAAAAATGCTTCTAGATCTTTTGTTTTGCATTAGTGGGTTTCTAAGATAACTTGAATCAGTCGGCAAAGGATCTTCATTTAACTTGAAAAGAAAAAGAATTGGCACAGATATTAATTTCTTGTTCATTTCTTCAGCAATCTGTTAACTGAATCTCGGTAGATCATAATTATTTGGAGCAAAAAAGTCAAGGCCATCTTATTTCCAACTGAGTTATCCCACATCAATTTATTACAGCAATCGTCACAAAATAATTTTGTTGAGTTTTTTTCTCTGTTTCTTCACGCAATCTGTTAACTGAATCTCGGAAGATCATAATTATTTGGAGCAAAAAAGTCAAAGCCATCTTATTTCCAACTGAGTTATCCCACATCAATTTATTACAGCAATCATCACAATATAATTTTGTTGAGTTTTTCTCTCTGTTAGAATTTGATGTATCACAAGACATACAAGTGTCTAGTGAACAGCCTGCGCAGAAAAGATGCGCGTTAGTAATGGTCTTGAAAGGTCAAGCATGCGCTCTCTAAGTGACTGAAACACCTCCAGGCAAGTGTCAGCAACATGAAAGAGGACTACAGAGGACGAGTTTGAAGTCGGAGAAGAAAAAAGGGCCTATTTTCACTCGTTTTTCATGAAAATGTTTATGTTCTTCTCCCCCATGAGATTTGGAGAGCGCGCGCCGTTCGTCACTATTACGAAGTTCTCACGCAACAAAGGAAATAAACTCATTTCTTTAATGCTGCTCTTAGAAACTGTTTGTGAGTTTGTTTTTTGTCAAAAATCATAGATATTTGCGCTGATTTTCGCGAGTGGTGTCCTGAAAATAAAAAAATGCGTCAATGCGGAGAATTTCTCCAATCAAATAGTATAGAAGAGGGAAAAACCACCGCGATATATCGAGAATTGAGGATAGAAGGCTCTGCTGAGAAGAAAATCACCTTGCCGAACATCCAACCTACAGTGGTTCAGACGCTGCCAAGTTGTCAGCAGACCTTACCTAGCTTATGGCCCACGGAGAAGTTAAGTCTGCCCACCATACCACCAAAGGCGAAGAACGCGCCAACAAGACCTAAGTCTTCAGTAAAGAGAATGCTACCAAGTAATCCCACAGCGGAAAACGTAGCCCTGTCGTGTATCAAAGCAAACGTAGCTACCTCAGTGCACCAGCTTTTACCGACTCTTCCATCCATTGGAAAGCGAGATGCTTCGTCATTCGAGAAACCCCAAACAAAGGTGAAATCGACGGTGAAACGATTACTGCCGAACATCCCCATGCCGGAGAAGCTCTCTCTGCCAAGTATTGAGCCGATTGTGGTGAAGGCACAGCTGAAAGGTTGTTCGCGACGACAAAGATTCTTGCCGAGTGTTTCTGTGCTTCCAACGATTAAGGGACAGCTATCGCCAGTCCTTGAAGAAATGGAGGCAACCACGGAAGGCGTTCATACGGCGGAGAGCGAACAGAAGAAAGGAGTTAATCCCGTAGAGATTGCTAAGTCAAAAGTTCACAGTCCCGCGGAAGGGAACATGTTGCAAAGTCGTGAGATGAAACAGAAAGAAAACAGTCTGTTCGATCCGAATGAGGAGGTGGAGACACCAAAAGCTGCATTGGAGTCAGCGGGAGAGGAAAGGCCTCCGAACCAGAATTATGATTTGCCAGCAAGTTACAGAACAAAGAGGAAAGAAACGAAACAAAAACCAAAGGGAACAAAAGGGAACCAGAAATGTCTTGAGGAACAAATGTTGCCAAGTCTTAAACCGATTGACAAAACATTTTTGGAAAACCCTAAGACAGCACTGGAACACCATCCGGGATTTTTGGTAGCCAGGAAGACTGCAATAATTAGGCCAAGGGATAAAGCGCATCTGGCGTTCTTTCACCCAACAAAAGAGCTGCCTCACAGAATCCCTAAACTGCCATTGAAAAAGCCATTGCCTAGCTTTAGGCAGACACTAGATGAGTTCCCTAGTCGTCAGCCAAGTATAGAAAAAGATAGCTCAGGATTCACTGGGAACCGGCAGGCCAAGAGCCAACAAATTTTACGAACAGAGGGACTGCGTAGACTGCAACATACAGTGGGATACATAGGAGCTTTGGTAGCCAGGGAAATGAAATCAAGTCTGCTAGGAATTTCGGGGGAGCAACCTCTGACGAAAGATCAAGAGACAGCAGGGGCGCCAAGAAAGAAAACAGTCAAGTCTTTCAGCCCACAAAATGTATTGGTAGAAAACAAGTTTTCAAGAACTTCACCTGTGAGGGTAACGGAAATTTCGGTAGGGCAGGGTGAAGCGCTATCACGTCTCCAACGTCCACTAGAAAATATTCCTTCAAAACCTTTACAAAAGCAAGCTAGGCGAAGCCAGACAGCTACAGAAACAGAATTGATACCTAACGTGAAGCCCCGTCAAAAAGAAACCCCATTGAGCTTTCAACCAAAACCAAGAGGTTATGCCTTTCGTAACATTAAACGCGGAGAGTTCGAACAGCTACACCGTCTTCGACTTGTGGCAAAACGAAACTGGGAAAAAGAGGGAGAGTCTGGCGGCATCTTGACCGTAAAACCAGCTTTACCCGGCATTCAGTCAGACAAAGAAAACGTGACGAAGGCAAGACCTCATCTATCACAACCCACGATAGAGAAAGGCCCTACAAGTGCTCAACCGAGCGCCAAAGACAGCAGTC